TATATTTATATGTTATCTGTGGCTCCTCTTTTTCTTCAATTCATTAATGCTGCTTGTTTAATTATTTATGTTTATAATTACATTATATTTATATGATTTTAGATTTATATCTTCTCAATCTCCTCTTTTTCTTTTTCTTTTTTCTTCATATTTGATTGAATATTATTTTGTATTATATCAAATCAATTTATTTGCAATTCTATTTTTTTTAATTTTGTTTTTCAAGAAACAGTAGGAGATAATCATTGGTAAGTAAATTTTATTTATGCAAATTAACACTAAATTTCATTTATATGTTGATTAGAGCCATTTTGGTTACAATTATAAATAAATACTAACCTTATTTTTTTTTTTTTTTTAGGAAATGGTGTTCTATAATTATTTATCTATTGAGGTAATATTTAATTTTTTTGGATTATTTAGTTATATTTTCAGTTTATCATAATTTTTTAAAATAATGTTTTAATCACCAATTTAAATAGTTTTAATCATTAATTTAAATAAATAAATACAATAATTTTATGTTTCTATTGTAAAATTTTCATATAATATTTATTTTATGCTAATGAATATTATGAAGTATTTAGTATTTAACTGTAAATTAATTGAATTAAATAAAAGTATATATTAATTTCAATATTAATTCAGGAAACTTTTTTGTTATTTTTGTATATTTATTTTTTCAATGTTATCTTTGTCAGTCAATGAAACTATTTTTTTGTAGATTAATTTAGTAAGATTCCTTCACCACTGTTACGTTCGTTAGTGATTTGGAGAGAGAAAAAAAGCCAAACAAATTTCCAGACGTGATTCTAGTCGGTAATTTACCGACATGGAATACCAGAAAAGGCTCCAATATTACTGTTCCGGCTTAATATTAGAGAGGAATTTCTTGTCGGTAATTGGTTGTAGGTTTACTGACGTGACTTTAATCCACATCGGTAAACCAATTACCGAGCCCACTTTCACCGACAAAGGCATTTCCGACGTGATTCAAATAGGAAGGTTGTTTCACCAACGTCATTCCCTTTGTTTCCTCGGTGATTTTTCGTTGGTGAAATAATGAATTCTAGTAGTGTACATCCTATGGTTATCTTCCATTATTATTGTTGAATCTTTCCTTAACAATGACAACTAAAAAGGCCGGCCGGAGTAAGAGAGTTTTTTTCATCTAATTAAATTTTATATAGAAATCAAATTACGTAGTAGGTTTTGATTGACAATATTTTTTGGTGCTTTTCTTTTTAATTTTTATATCTTTTTATTATTTTGAAAATATATAAAATATTAATTAAAATAAGTATTAAATATATAAAATATATTTTATATATTTCTAAAATGTTAAAGGACCAAAAAACTTACAATTGCAACTACAACTATAGCTACAGATAATGTTATCAAACTAAGCCTAAATAAAAAAAAGAGTATTTATTTTTCAAATAATTTAAATATTCAAACTTTTAATATAATAAGCAAATGTAATGCTGTATCTTAATTCCAGGGATTCAATCTTTAGGACCCATTATTTAGAGTCAATGTGAGGGTGTGTCCATCATCAAATAAAAAATTAGTCTCAAAGAGTATTCAAACTGATTTTTAGCACCTGTTTCTTCCGGTCAACTAGCATTTTATCAGTTTAAGGTGCATTCTCCCTCTTCCTTAGGAGGTTTCGAGCCTACCTTTTGACAAATTGTTCAAAAAAAAAAAAACTGATTTTACAATATCCTAACCTTAATTTTTTTTTAATAAAAAACTGGGGTTCACATAAGCTTCCGTCACAAATCTGGCGGATCAAATCCACTAAAATTGATGGGGGGGATTTAAATCCATGTTCTTAATCTTAACATAGAGCGAAAATAGCCGGGAACGCCAGGTAGGCTGATGGACTGTTGTGATCAGGGCCCAAATCTTATTGGTCTCATCACAACAATGATACTGGCCCAATTCTAAACTAAATTGCTAATAAAAGTGAGCATTTTTTTTGTGCACATCAAGTGAGACATGGGTTGTATTCGATACTTAATTTAAAAATTTTTAATATAATTTTTTAAATTTAATATTTATCTAAATACTTAAGAACTTATATTTGATACTTAACTCAATAGGCACCAAGTTTCTTGTGAGTACATATTTATGTATTTAGCTTAAAAAAAGAAAAGATCTAATATGAGATATTATTATTATGCGTGTTATGTATATGATTTAAGATTTACTATTTATAAGAGTTATTATTATTCTGTGTGTGAATTGTTTGCTTATGAACTTTACTTAACTTTTATTTCTATTTTTTATATTGTTATTTTTATTTTTAAAAATTATTATTATTAAATAGATATTAAGTATTATAATTATATGTAAATTTTTTATTATACAAATATAGACAATAAATAAGTTAAGCAAGTTGGTTAAACAACTTAAATAAACAATTCTAAACTCTTATATTTGTTATTTGACTTGATAGTTATAAGTATATTATTTTTTTATCCATTACTTATTTAAATTTGCACAATTTAAATATAAAATTTATCTAAATAAATAAAATACTTATAAATAATGAGTGTATCCATATCCAATGTCACCCCTAATTACTAACAACAAGTGGAGGGTGTCCCGCTACACAGGGCATATATATATAAATCTTGAGCATTAAATTTTAAAATAATGATAATTTTTTAGAGTCTATTTAAGAAAGCTTTGATGTTAAATATAGGTTTTTATTGATTATTAAATTTATTATTTTCAATTACAACTCATTAAATAATATAAATATGTTAAAAGAAAAAATGAATATCAACTTATATTGTAAAAAATCAAAAAAAAAATTTAAAATTATGTTGTTTTAATAAAATTTTATTTAAAAAAACTAAAATACCTTAGTTTTTGAATCAGGAACGAAGTAGTTTTAATTTTTGCTCATTGTACTTTATTAAAATGACTTAATTATAAGTTATTTTTTATTTAATTGTTTATAATATCAACTTATATCCACTAATCTTATGTGTCAAATATGTACAAATGCTTCGTATGTGTGAGAAATTCAATTTTCATTTGTTCCTATTCTACGCAATATATATTTGTTCCTAAGAATATTTATGATGTGTTGGCCAAAATTAGATGGCTAAACTGATAAGAAAACTTTGTGGGAAGACATTTTGTTAGTTTGGGGCATAAGAATGAAGTAGTTTTAATTTTTACTCATTGTAATTTATTAAAATGATGAAATTATAAGTTTTTTTAATTTAATTTTTTATAATATCAACTTATACCCATTAATCTTATATGTCAAATATTTACAAATGCTTCGTATGTGTGAGAAACTCAATTTTCATTTGTTCCCTTCCGACCCAACAGATATTTGTTCCTAAGAATATATATTTATGATGTGTTGCCCAAAATTATATGGCTAAACTGAGAAGAAATCGTGATCAGGGCCCAAATCTTATTGGTCTCATCACAACAATGATACTGGCCTATTTCCTTGCGTATTTGTTGATAAAAAAAAGTACTTTCAAATATACATTTTAAGTATTGGATGATATTTCCTCGCAAATGAGGAGGTGGGATTTAGCCAGGTGAGTGCAAGGCTGTGAGAGTCATATTGTAGCATATATAGAACTCGAAATCTGGAACTAATTTATTGCTACTATAGCATAATGGCACATCACTACATCACGAGATATATGCCCAAAATGACTAACTCTATATAGCCATTTCTCAATCTTTTATTTTTTTTCCAGAAATGTAAAGCTTAATTAGGACTAGTTTCAGTAAGCCTTCAAGGGCAAAATATAACCTTATAGTTGGTTCCTGTGGGACAAGTGAACAAGCTAGTCGGATCATCCTTGGGATAGCTGTAAGCATCTGGACATCTCTCCTTAAAAAATCTGGAGAAGTTTGTAGGCCCACAATTGCCAGAGTTGCAACAGTGCTCCTCTGTCTTGAACACTGGACACGGCCCGTTGCACCCTCCAGGGACCTTCAACTCGTTTGGACATTGTCCTACAATATCAGCAGTACGCTTGATCACACGGCTGCACCCAGGGGAGTTGGATCTGAACTCCATGGGAACATTAAACCCGTCAATGTTGGAGATGTCGATAAAGTCCTGGTTGGCAAACTGGCCAAGAGCGAACTCGGCCAAAGTGTTGGGTGGGGAGCCGTAGGCTTTGCATTCAAGGAGTCCCTGGCAATCGCCTGTCTGGCAACTACCTCTTCCAGAGGCATCAAATTGGCAGTTGGTTCGTGCCCAGATGCGGGCTTGTGTTGTCCCAGAGGCTACATTGATCTGCCAGGTTTCGCCTGAGTTAAGACGTCTGCCACCTCCTACAGGGACTGCGGCAGCCCAAACAACGTAAGGACAGTTGTTTCGAATATCAAATGTGGCTGCGGAGGCCATGTTGAGTAAGTAGAGAGCAGAAAAGAGGAAAGAAAACACAGAGATGGAACTCATTGTGTAGGATAGGACTGTATAGCTTTTGCTTTTCTGTTTTATGGTTTGGTTTAAGAAGAAACCCATTGGGGTTTATATAGAGCTGATGGGGGCTTGGGATAGCGTCATTGAATTTAATTTTGTTGGGAATTTTAAAAGATGATGACGTGAATGTCGTTCTTGTCAATGTTCGCCGCCGCCCCATAATAATGTTTCTAGTCATTTTGACCCTTGATTTACGCTTTATCCTGCCCCAGCAATTGCTGGAATATATATATCTATATATCTATCACAATATGGTTTTTACATATATTCAAACTGTTTCAAAATAATTGTTTTTTATTTTTTAAAATTAAAAATTTAAAGATGATAATTATATTTATTTATAATATTTTTAAACAAATAAAAGATAAAAGAAACCTTTTATGATAGGAAAATTAATTTAAATAAATAATAATACAATTAA